TGTACAAAAATTATTTGGAAGCTATGTTATCAGGTAAGTGTTTAATCTTAAAAAATGTTTAAAACTCCTAAAACATAACAATAAAAGACAGTTCTATTTTAAAATGAGCAAAGTACATAAATAGACATTTCTCTAAAGATACACAAATGGCCAAGAAGCACATGAAAAGGTAATCAACATAATTATCCATTAGAAACATGCAGATCAAAAACACAAGATAATACTTTAGACACATTAGTGTAGCTATTTAAAATGTATCTTTATATACTAAATATATTACATATGCATAATAAAAAGAATATTGGCAAGCATGTAGTGAAATTAGAACTCTCACCTCTCATTAACTAAAATATAACTGTATAGCTAGAAAATGTAATGGTCCTAAAAGAATTAAGCAGAACTACTATCTGCTCAAGTAATTTTAGTACCAGGTATATATACAAAATTCTTAAGAAACAAACAAATATTTGTATATTGCTAGTCATAGCAGCATTATTAACAATAGCCACAAGTTGAAAAAATCCCAGATGATAATTGACAAATGCATGTGGCATACACACACACACACACACACACACACACACACACACGCAAGGGGTTTTCAAAAGGTTTGTGAAATAAGAGCTCACTGCACAGGGAATCCAGGTCTGATAAACCCTGCAGGACCAATAATGAGAGTAGTGATACCAGGGAGATAAAGGAAAGGTGGGGTGGAGAAAGGGAGAACCAATCACATTGATCGATATATAACCCCCTCCCAGGGGGAAGAACAACAGGAAAGTGGATGAAGGGAGCCAGCGGTTGGTACAAGACATTAAAAAAACAATAGTTTATAAGCTATCAAGAATTCATGAGGGAGGGAAGGTGGGGAGGGAAAATGAGCTGATACCAAGGGCTCAAGTAGAAAGAAAATATTTCGAAAATGATTGACACAATGGATGGATGTATGGATTGTGATACAGTCGGTAAGAGCTCCCAATAAAATGATTTTTTTTAAGTTCATGTAAAATTCCATTATCTTTCCATTTAGTTTTCCACGAACTTTTTGAAACTCCCTCATATATGTGTGTATATCTGTTATGGGTGTCTTATTCATCCATAGAGGAATGAGGATCTGCCACTTTCTACTTACTGCATGGGGAACCTTGAAAATGTTACGCAAACTAAAACAAGCTAGACACAAAAGGACACATATTATATACCTCAACTTATATGGAATATCTACAGTAGGCATAAAGACAAATGTAGGTTTCTGTTGTTCATCCAGTTGGTTCTGACTCATAGTGACCTTACTAACAACCAAATGAAATACCGCTTGGTCGCGCACCATCCTCACATTGTTCTTATGTTTGAGCCCATTGTTGCAGCCACTGAGTCAATCCATCTCTTTGGTGGCCTCTCTCTTTTTCACTGCCCCTCTACTTTACCAAGCATGATGTCCTTTCTAGGGAATGGTCTCTGGTAACATGCCCAATGTGTGCTAAATGAGGTCTCATCATCCTTGCCTTTAAGAAGTATTCTGGCTGTATTTCTTCCAAGGTCAATCTGTTGGTTCTTTCAACAGTCCATGGTACTTTCAATATTCTTCACCAGCACTATAATTCAAATGCATCACTTTTTTCCCCTTTTCCTTATTCAATACCTAACTTTCACATGCAAATGAAGCAATTGAAAATACCATGGTGGGCTTTAATCCTCAAAGTGACCACCTTGATTTTCAACACTTTAAAGTGGACTTGTGTAACAGATATACCCAATGCAACATATCGTTTGATCTCTGAACTGCTGCTTCCATGAGCATTGGTTATGGATCCAAGCAAGACAAAAATCCTTGCCGTCAATCTTTCTCCCATGTATCATAATGTTACCTATTGGTCCAGTTGTAAGGATTTGGGTTTTTACAAAAAACAAACAAACAATGTATGAGACCATTTCTGTAATGGAAAACACCAAGACAAAGAGAGACAGTGGCTCTTAGGTCAAGCAGTCACTCCATCCGACCTCACAAGCAGTGGAGTGGGAGTGCCTTCTAGGGGTCTAGGGTTTATAACCCACCCATCTGTCATTCCCTTATTTGTACATCATAAAAACCATTTCTCCACAGGACACCTCGCCACACCTTGGCGACACCTCTTTGTAGCTAGGGTAGTCGAATACCAAATAGTCCATGCCTAAATGTCATCCCGATGGGGTGGGGGACACTCCTACAGTGATGTTCAATATATCCAGTAGAGATTCATGACCAACAAGAGTGGGGGATGTGTCTGTCTCAAAGATGTTCTTACCCCTAGGCTTGGGGGGAATGGGTGGCTTCCCCTGGGCTATGCTTGACATGCTTAGTGGCCCTCCAAGGGTAAGAATCTTCCAGTACCATGTGGCTAATCATGATTGCTCTGAGTTTCTTTTCAGTCCTTGGTAACCCAGACCCCATATTACAGGCTACCGGGACTTCATAGAGCTTCTCCTCTCAAGGGGTACAGCATACTACATAGGCCGCACCACAGAGATTAGAGTCAGAAAACCCATTAAGTGAGCCAGACTTTACCTTAAACATACTTATTTCAGATGAAAGGAATCAATATATTTCTTTGGCCTTAAGCTGTAACGACCTAGTGAGAGAACAAGACTGCTTCTGCCAGGTCGTGGAATTGGAAGTTATTGGACTTCAGTTCAAACCTCTTGATTTTGAGGTTTCCCAATCATAGGCAAATTAAGACTACCATATACCTAACACTTTCATGTTTTCTTAGATTTCTAAGGTCTGCGGACATAGTTCTGCCAGAGTGGATGAGTGTTACTGAACATTCTATCCTGTTCTTACCCTTATATTTTTCCTAAACAAGATCCAATCACTTAAGTTTTTAAGATGTATGATGGAACAGCTCATATGATTTAGTCTAATAAAGCTTTCCTATATATCAATATTCTCCTATTTTGCCAATATTATAAAATCTATAGCAGTGGCTAGTTTTATCATACTATTATTAGAATTTATAGTGACCCTATAGGATAGGGTAGAAAAGTGCCTGTGAATTTCTTAGGCTGCAATTTTTTTATGAGAGTAGAAAGCTTCACCTTTCTTCCACAGAGCAGCAGGTGGTTTAGAACTTCTGACCTTCTGGTTAGCAGCCCAATGCTTAACCACTATAACACGGTGTTGTTATTAGAGTTGGAGCCCTGGTGGTGTAGCCATTAGGCATTTAACAAGGAGTTAACAATAGTCAAGGAAGCTATGTATATGAAAACCATCAAAAGTCTATATTGAGCCCCTTCGAGTTGTTTTAGTGGTAGCAGACACAGGAGGAGAGCTTTGGCTTTTCGGGTCCCACTGTCCCACTGAGAAACTCTGCATGGTCTTCAGTACCTGCAAGATTGCTAAAGAGCTCAGTTAGGCTCTACACGATGCTTGCACAGGCAAGATTTCTTAGGATTCACTCCTCGCTAGTGTCTGGTACTGAAGTGGATAGTAAACTCAGCCTTAATTGGGCTGGGTTGAAGATCCAGGTTTAGGCTGGCACCCCTTAAAATAATTTTCTGCACATAACAAAACCTTTACGAACGGATCATTTAACTCCAATAATTGACCATTT